CTTCCCAACCCCCCCCACCTTCCTCCCCTACAGTGCTGTATTTACGCACTAATTTATTAGCTCCCGCCTGCAATGCGCAGCTACCTACCCCACCTCCCCGAATCACCGGTGAACGAAACTGTGGCAGCTACAACTACTGTACGACAAGTACGCGGTTCTCGCAGCTGACAATGATGATGATGATGTGTAGTCAGTTTTGCCGACAAACAGTAAACAAAAGCCATATACAGTGGGAAAGGATATTATATATATATACCACATGTATACCATAAATATATATAACACCTTGCAGTCTGTGATCAATAGAACATTTCCTGTTGCACCGTCAGGCATGCTGATAATCTCTAGCAGATCAGCTCCTCAAGTGCGTCATATGGTAAACTGATGTTTCTGTTGTCTATCAGTCCACCTCCAGCAGCCCCCACCAGCCCCAGCCTCCAGCAGCTTGTATTGACAGAGTTAAGAAGAGTACGGCTTTCCGAATTCCTACCCAAATACTAGATGGAATCAAGACTGACATCAACTAGGAACAGTCTCCATCGATCACGCAGGACATCCAAGTGACAGCGTACCGAAAAACACATCGCCCAAAATCCTACTGCGTAATATAAACGCGAATTCGCAAATACTCACTTGTATGCTAATTTGGTTTTGATGGAAGATGCAACTGAATCTCTCGCTCATGATGGTTAAGCCTACCACTGGAACCAAAATTAGTGTACAAACCAGAGAGAGCATCTGGGGAAGTCCGTCCAATTTGGACCCAAGCAGAACATAAGGTCGGTAGAAACTCGGGGGCCGCGCCTACCTGATGAACCTCAAAAGAGTAAAAGCGGTCGGAGGCCGTCGAAGAGTTCCCGGCAAGCAGTGTTACCCCTACAAACCCAAAATATTCAGCATTCAGCGGAGCTAGGTTGATAGAATTCCTAAGGAATGTTATAGGCTTTCCACTCAAGCCCCCATCTTCATAGGCTGCGAACACTGGCTGACGTTTTAACAGACACAGCGAGTCTGTCAGATTGATCAGTAGGCAGAATAGCTAATCAGGACGGATGTTAATCTGGAGTCATGAAAAAACTCGAAAGCCACGTGGAATGCGATCACATGCTTCTAGATCAAAACACACCGTTGAATCCAACGTCTCGACTAGCGCCATCATAAAAACCCTCGGAAATAGTCATTAAGCTATACCTTAGAATGCTGTTTTCCGATATATATATATATATATATATATATATATATATATATATATATATATATATATATATATATATATATATATATATATATATACTTGTCACAACAACAGTGTGACTCCACAGCCAAGACAACAATTCGTTGTGACTTTCCGCCGGAAATAAAACATCGCAAAGCTATTATATGGAAATGCATATATCCAAACTATGGAGCTTGACAGTAGTGGGACACCGGTGGGGTACCAAGGCACCAAATGTCGAGAGGAAGCGGACACAAAGTTTGCAAACCAACTGCTACACCCAAAGAACAAATCAACAGACAAGAGTCCTGAAGAATTTAAACAACTATAGAGTGCGACAAAAAGTGTCTTCAAGCAGCGCTACTGAGGTCGGTCCACGGAGTGGTTCATGTGTTAAGTGCACAGTGAACAAGTCAGACTATTTCTGACCTCGGTTCGATCATTTAGGGACGGTGGGGCGGTTAACCTACCTCTTCCATAGCAAGATCGATACACCACAGTACCAACTGATTTGCCGTCTCTTCACAAACCAAAAAGGGATGTTCCAGTAAGAAGTTTTGCGAATCCAAGGGCTTTTGAAACATTCCGAACTTGCGTATGGTTTTGTTGTGCTTCTTTACGAAATCCTTGAGGCGGTTGATGGCAGCTTCTTCGGAAGCTTCTGATGTGGCAGCATCTTCATGCTTCAACGTGGCTGAATTAATAATCTGGTTGTTTAAAAACGGGAACAGAGGGAGTAGGTAGAAACGGGAAACGTGGCCTTACGAAGCGACTGCGCCAGAGCGAACGCGAATACTTCGATACATTGAATCATCAGATAATAGATGGTGTAAAAGCGGTCCAGCTTAAGCAAAAAGCTTTTTTAACTGTACGTGAGAGCGGCGCAAAAGGAGAAACTAGCTAAAACATGGTGTAATCTTAGATTTCTGCGTTGGATATTAGAATTCTCCCGGTATTGTTAGCCTACTAAGGGATATTTGTAGGGAAGAACAACCAGACGTGGGGGGAACTTCAGTTTTTTGAATAAATGCCAATTAGGACGGATAGTAGCCTCCAGAACATGACTCAAGGCGAGTAGATCGGGGGTAAAACCCTTCCCTTGCTTGAACCCACTGTTTTCTGCGTCTACCTCATGCATTCGATATTCACCCAAAATCTCTCATGAACTTTTGACCCCTGACATGTCGAACGAACAAATCTGACGAACTTCCCCCGTGCACCTTTTGATCTTTTGATCAAATCAGATTCTTAAGCAAAAAGAAGGAAATTAGAACCTGCCGGACACGTACTAGACACACGACAGATGCAGGAATACCTTGACGTATTGAAGGAATGACCACAACTTATGTCACTAGGACTAACTGTCAAATCAGTGGGAATCTCGAGAAAAAGAATGAAGATGAGTAGATTGATCTTCTACTCGCTGAACTGGCAAACGAGAAGTTACTAACTAAGCGTGATTTTACACCAACTTTGACATCGGTCCACATTACCTAACCATTGAACTTACTGATAGAAAGACTTACTCTCGCATACACTAAACAGTAAGATTTTAAACCAACAGAGACTTACTACTTAACCTAGCATAGCCAAAGTAAGGCAAAGATATCATCAACTGCGACAAATACCCTCATTTGCAAGTCATTGCGTCTTGCTGAACGGTAGTGCAACTCTGTATCGGTCCCTTGGCTTCCTGCTCCGTCCACTATGATATATCAAAAGGCACGGTAGCTCTAGACAGCCCTTTATGGAGACAAAGGAAAATTATTACAACTTTATTTATAGGGTAGTCACAGAGTGCTCCACAAGGTCGTGCCAGAATCTCCGTGAGGGAGCGAGAAGCGTCGAGTCAAGGATGCTTGATCCGGATTGGTTGGCATTCTGACCAATCAGGGCATGCCTTAGTTTGGTCCGTGTCCTGCGCGTGACACATCCGTACAAATGTGATGTTCGGTTACTAGGGTCGGCTGGGCTCCGAACACAAATTAATTTAGTTTTCACGGGAGACTCAAATGAACCTCTCGTTTGTGATGTTCTTGAACTGAAGGTGCTGCACACAGGCCGCCTCGTGTTTCAGTTGGTACGATATTTGAGATAGCACAGAGAGATATCGACGAGTTTTCAGCAACCTCGTGAGTAGACAAATGTGATGTTCGGTTACTAGGGTCGGCTGGGCTCCGAACACAAATTAATTTAGTTTTCACGGGAGACTCAAATGAACGTCTCGTTTGTGATGTTCTTGAACTGAAGGTGCTGCACACAGGCCGCCTCGTGTTTCAGTTGGTACGATATTTGAGATAGCACAGAGAGATATCGACGAGTTTTCAGCAACCTCGTGAGTAGCTTCTTCTATGAAAATATCGCCAACTGTTTTTTCGTCAGACTGAAACCTTGACTGACATAGTAACTTGTTGATTAGCCCGAGGAACTAAAACCATCAGTATCACGAATGTCAACCCAAGAGAATCCTGGAGCTGTCTTGCCCTAGAAATTCAGTTCGAAAAACCAGCGAAAGCGAATCTTTTGAATTTCAGCTTCACACCACGGGAGTAAGCAAACAAATGACGGTAAGCTGTTGGTCTGTTTTAGTTAATCCTATCGGCAGTGAGAAACTCGACTGTTTTGCACACTTTTCTGAAAAGTGGTGTTGCTGTTGTTCGTGTGACAACACAGGCACATAGTGGAAACAAACCACGAACCACGCCGACATCGAAAATCAGGATCTTTGTTAAAATCGTGCCTTATGGCAAAACAATCGATCTTTATCGTTTGAGAAGCGTTCGCAGTAATCCGCACATTCCGTTGTAGTGTAGCTAGCCATTTTAATCGAAGTCGAATGACCCTGAAGCATGTGACACATCTTCAATGTAGATTTTTCCCGTGTTAGGAAATCAAAGCACTAGACAGCTGGACAGTCGGTGTTCACCTATCCACCAATGATTGAGATCATCAATACCTGTTCGGTAAGACTGACAGGTAGACTTTCATCAACCCCGGTTAGCACAACCACTCTGACAGATGGTACAAATGAGCTCCAGAATTCCCGCAGTTCTGATCTTCTGTTAGAGAGAGAACGTGTATATATTCGCTTGGCAGGTGACCGCGCTTCATACAACTCCTCAAAGCACTTCGGTTGGACCTTTGATGTTTTCTGCGAGAAGGTCGGTGCTTGTATTTTGGGGATTTTGTTTCTGTTTTGGTTTTACGAATGTACACATGTATATTCGTATATTGTGTGAAGTAGCTTCACTGTTATGTCATGTGATCCCTAACTAGGCCCCTTGGGGCAGGATATGAAAGATACCAAGCCAGCCCAAGAATAAGCGGCTGATTTTTTGCAGCCTGACGGAAGCGTAGCTATGAGCAGAGCGCGGTCTTCTGCAGAGGCCAGCGAACTGATCGACAAGTATGGTGGCCCGCCTACCCACTGGTTTGGCCTACTGCGGTGAGTCATCGGTAGTCAGATTGTGAGGCCAGGTGCGACAAAACACCTTTGATTCAAGGTTATTTGCACGTCTTAACAGGTTATTGTGAAACGTCTGGCTCCTATACTGGCAGCCTGAATACCGCAACGAGCTCCAGACTTCAGCAAATCGACAAAAAGTGTGCTTATCTATTACCAGATACAATTCCACGTTCCATCTAGTCAAATTGCTCAAACAGGAACAGTTTGTATACTATTTCCTAAGTTCTCTTGCTAATTAGCGCCTTCTTTGGTTCAACATCAGGCTACTAGAGCCTAGCGAAATCATCACCGGCTTAGGGGAAACTTCGAGTTGTATGGTTATTATTTGTATGTTTGAACCCTAAGACTACGGGAAACTGTTTTAACATCACCAAACAAAAACAGGTGTTCACGTACCTATAACATAAATAAAAACCGGACATACCAGAGCGAAGAGACTTGTGAACACCCGATTACTGTAACTCACTGTAATTCTAACGGTAGGCAACTGTGAGACTTGGTAAAAACGACGAGCGCGGTATTCGAACAGTTGATAGGTGAATGATGCTCTCAAGTAGTAACGAACCAAGATTAGTTTTACTGTTCTACACAGACCTGAAATTTTGCTGGAGGCACCCTCACATGAGTCTCTACGTCAGTCTTCAGTAAGATCCCATAACTGTTGACAGTTTGAGGAGATTTGGGATTTTTGTGGAGATTTCGTCCTGTAAGTGAAGCCAATCTATGCTGAAAAGCCGAGAAGCACTGTACAGCTGTTTCATTCTTATTGGGGATCATCAGCAGTGTGCATCTCACGAAACTCCGACGAGTCTCGAACCCGCGACCTCCTGGCTAGTAGTTTGAACACTAAACCGTTCGGCCACGAGTGGATGATCAGCAGTGTGATTAACTCGCACTTAGACAGGATATAGCGCCGCTCATCCTTCAATCACGGGATCCACATCACCCGGTCACACGTGTTGACTGGCTCCTCGAGCAACGTGAGATGCGCACTGCTGATGATTCCCAGTAGGGATGAAGCAGCTGTACAGTGCTCCTCGGCTTTTCAGCATAGATTGGCTTCACTTACAGGAAGAAATCTCCACAAAAACCCCTTAACTGTCCCTGGAGACGTCGGTGAGACCCTTGCACTCTTCTCCTGTCTGAAGTCGGGTTTTTGTTTTCTCACGACTATACTCTTCAAAAACTATATAAACGCAGCTAGGCACAGAGGAAGCACCCACTTGACTGCGCACTAACGGGCGAGATGGCCCAAGTGGTTAGAGGGCGAATTTACTGAACGGAAGGTTCGTGGTTCGAATCCGACCGCCGCCACTCGACTTCCCCTGTCTAGGCTTGGGCAACCTGGCAGTATCCCAGCCCCCGTGCTTCCTTCAGGTGGCATGGCATCTAGACACCGGAAGAGTGCTACACCTGAACGCTTTTCTGAACGCACTGACAGTGTCTCCTTAATTGAGGGCAAAACGTTTGCAAACCAATTACCAAGCTCGGCGAACAGATCAACCACCACCTGATCATCCAACAGTTCAGTTTGCTCGAATATCCTTTACTGAGCCACTCCCCAACGGTCGAATTGTTCAGCTACGAATGGCCAATATATTTCTCTCAGAGTTGAAAAAAGAGCAACATAAACGTCTAGACCTGTTTCCAGACCAACGGAATTCCGTTTAACATCCATGATGGACCCTTGAGCGACCACAAATCTGCTTATGCATCCGGGAAAAAGTCGGTCAGCATTTTCCGAAGACTACTCTCGAGATTCCATTCAGCCCATGTGCAGGGCAAAAACCTCTGAACGTCCTGAAAGCTAGCGAAATTCACGACTTTCCTTCGTCTATAGGCTGTGTGCTGTTAAACATAGCCGGAGATTCACCCCCAGACCAGTAGTGCTGGGATTAATAGCTGTAACCAATCGACTCCCACCAAGACTTGTTCAAGAAGCCCGCTAAACCTCAACCAGGAACAGTCGGTTATAATGTGAGATAGCAGCGCTTCTTCAGTGAAAGAATCCGCCACAGATAGATTCGCCTTTGCAAAATGAACTAAGAGTAGGAAGACCATAACTGGCTTTTAACTCACCGTTTTCGACTTTCCCTCATGGCATATTGTGTCAATATTCCAAGGTCGCAGCTGGCAGGAAAAAAACAGTTGGAGGAAGGGACAGAACAACACATTACCCTTTCTTTCTTCTTCATTTCTTCTTCCTTCTCATGCCATTCCCGATCCTCAACATCCAGCTTCGCCTTTTCTGCCAACAAATCAGGTAAATCGGAAGAGTTGG